CAGGGAGACCGAGTGTGCTGAGCCAGGGGCCATGGAGAGCAGGAAGGGAGAGGCAGTGACAGTGGCAAACTGGGCAACTGAAGGTATCGGCCAGTCTGAAACATTTCCTTATCACCCGCCTAAGCCTTGTTTGTGTCAAAAGGGAACTAAGTAAACACTGGGCAAAAGTTTCACTTTCGTTTCCAGGCTGTTGCACAATCAGTGCCAGTTCCATTCACTGCTGCCCCACAGCCATGGGCACAGCTCTGGGTACAGCATTGCCACCCCACAGCCATGGGCACAGACGTTTTATAAAGGGTTGATTTCACCAAGATGCTGCTGAGATGTGGAACAGAACCCGTGTGCAAGAACATCCCAGAGCCCAGCACACCAACAGTACCACCAGGAACTGCCCCACCGCCCCACTTCTTCACATTTTAAGCTGCACGGCAACCCCGGAACTGGATTTGTCTCAGGAAAAACCCCACAGCTGCAGCAAAAGCCCTGCTGGCATCACCCCTGGCAGCACAGGCCACCTCCACCACCCTGGTACAGTGCAGGCACACAGGGGTCATCCCAGGGGGCAACTCATTAAAATCACACCTTGCAGGCACAGCAGGGCGACCACACTTCTCAGTCAGCCACATGCACCAGCTGGAAACCTCAGCCAGGAGCAGGGGCAAACCCCAGCTGCTCACTGCAGCCAGCATGGGACAGGCTGGTGGAAGGCAGAGCTGGCATGAGACCTGTGAGACGGTACCACAGCATCTGTCCTGGGAAGCCAGTGGGGCCAGAGAAGCCCCAGGCCGCTGCAGGATCGAGGTCCACCCCAGCATCATCCCTTTCCCACATCCCCCTTCGGTCCTGCCCTTCCTCACTGCCAGCCACAGCTCTGTGGTGACCCAGACAAAAAACAGCCAAAGGAAAAGTGATCCAAAACACCAAACCAGCCCAACTTTGCCTTTCGGGGCACAGGCACCTCCGTCCTTCCCATAGGAACCCAAGACATGGTACAGCCCCTCAGGGTCCAGCCCTTGTGCTCCTTGTGGGGAAAGGGTTCACAGAGCCAGCCCCATCCCAGCCCCACCACATAAATGAAATTGCAGCCTCTGCCATGGGAGCGCGGCAGCAGCCGGGGCGTGGACGGGTTCAGTGGCTTCAAATTAGTGCCTGGGAGTTGGAAGAAGCAAAACAAACCAGCAGAAACGTGGCAGGGCACCGGGCTGTGCCCAGTGCCTGAAGGGGGTGACAGCCCCATCGCCACGGGGACATGGCGCCTGGCAGGACAGGGAGACAGGGAGGAGGAGAGTGCCCAGCTCAGCCCCTCGACAAGGTGTGGGGGAGGCGATGGCTGGCAGCCACCTGCACCCCCACTCCTCCATCTTTACATGTGCTGCTTGTCTTCCAAAGCAAGCTGCAGACATCTCTGCACCACCATCTGGGCACCTGGACTCCATATCCCCCTCCATGGAAGCAAAGGGACTGGGACAAGCTGCTGGCTGGGACACAGCTCCCTGCCTGCCCCTTTCACAAGCACAGGGACACACAAAGGGACAAAATACTTCAGCATCCCTGCTCCCACTGGTCACCACAGCTTCCTCACTAGAGAACAAGTTTCACCGCACCCAGGCTTCGAGTTCATTATTTATGTCACACTCGAAATCTTTGCATCTGCAAAACTTTCTGAATAATTTATGGTGGTGGATCAGGGAGGAAGAGGGACACGTTTTGCTGAAAACCAGGTCACTCCAAATACCAGCCAAGCAGCGAAGGGAGACAATGGAAACGGGTACAGAAACTCACTGGGGAGAAAAAAATCCAACAGCATTTATCTATATACATATACACACACACTCCAGAGATGCCATCGGCATCTGAAGACATTTAGCAAGACCAGCCCTTCAGCAAATGAGGATCATTTTCAACCTTCTAAATTTATTTTTTCTCTAAGGGAAGGATAAAGAGCTGTGAATCAGTCCCATTTCCCTCCGTACCTCGTGAAGGGCAAAAGCAGGGCACAGCAGCCCCTTCACCAAACTCTGGTAGAGACACTCTTACATGCCCTTATCCAGTCTCACCATCCCTGCACACTGGTGTTGGCATGGGAGCTGCAAGGGGCCAAGCAGCAAACAGGAGAACACTCCTGTCCAGCACTGCCGAGGGCTCTTCCCCCCTCCAGCACCTTCTCCCCGCCACAGCCTGTCCAAGTCACCCCTCGCTGATACGCAAGGAGTTACGTTCCTATCACGCCCGTCTTAAAACAAAGAGGATGTGAAATGTTCAGCAAAGGCAAGAGGAAGGAAAATGAGCAAGGATATTGCCAAGACCTCACGTAACTCTCATTGTAGGCCACCATGCCGTGCCAAGGGCCCAGACACCCTCCAAGCTGCTTGTTCTGAGGGTAGCGTGCTTTGAGCCGGGGGTCTGCTGCTCCCTGGGCCTGCCTGGCTCCACACCCACATGCCACGACAGCTGAGGAGCAGCATGCAGACAAAGACAGTCAGATAAGGCCACCATGCCCAGCAATGGGGAGATGAACAATTTGGAGACACCAAAGAAAAATAAAAGCTGGGTAAGAGATGCAAGATCCGGTCACAGCCAGGAATGGCCCCAGATACCACCTGTACTGACTGACAGAGGTGACATCCCCAGCCCTGAGCCCTGAGACATCCCCATCCCCAAACATGAGAGCAACACCAAGCAACAGGCAGCAGAGCAGCTCCCTACTCCTGCAGCATCTGCATCCCTGCTGATGGATGCCAGAATGATCCGTAAGGGCTCATAAGACACATCAGACCTTGGACCCAACACACATGGGGAAAGCTGGGACAGATCCTGTCCAGTGCCAGGTCTGCTGAAGCAGTCAGAGGCACCATAGCTCGGAGCAGCCGCTCAGCCAGTGAAGTCGCTCCTACAGCAGCAGAAGGATGTACAGAGTGGCCGAGCATCCAGCCAGGAAGGGAACACCCCTCCCCAGCCTCCCGGGCAATGCCCTGCCCCACACACCCCCAAACCTTCCCCCAAAACACCCTGCAGACCGTGCCACACGTGCAGGGGATGTGTTGCTGATTCACATTCCAGCAGAATCGGTGTTATTCCTGTCCCTGCAGCCTGGGCACCCGTGGAACAACCCCCAGGCCCCATACAGGAATTAAGGGCTAATCCAGGAACGCATTCAATAGAGGCTACAAAACAATTCAGTCATAAAAACATCCTTATCTCTGGAGGCCGGAGAGCATTCTTCCTGCCCCAGTGCAGCAGCCTGGGGCGCAGGGCCATGCGACACGGCCACGGCCAGTGGGACAGGAGCCCACCAACAGCCACGAGCCCACAGGGGCTCACAGCACACTCCAAAATACCTGCACACAGAGTGACTGGGGCAAGGGCACAGCCGGCCCCCTCGGTCAGCACCTGCTAAACGTGCCCAGTGACTAAACCCAGAGCCGAGCACCTTTGGGACCCACTAACTCTAAATGTTAACTCCTAAAATGTATTTTCAGTGAAGAACAATGCTGTAGGATTTGTTCTGGGATAAAATGAACACTCCAGGCAGGGTCAGGCACTGGCTGCCTTTGGCAAACGCTTCACAGCAGAATGCTTCTCAGACCTCCAGAGCCATAAAAGTGACGACAGCTGTCGGATTTGGGGTTTATTTTAACCCAAAATGCCAAGAATTGGTACAATGGGAGTCCATGTAACCCAGATGTTAGCAGCTGCTACTCCAGAGCAGGGGAACTACACCCACAGGGCTTAGTGTGAGATCAGAAGGGAAGGGAGCAGGAATCAGCTCTCCCAGGAATGGACAGGGTGGTGGACTTGGCCAGATCATCACCTGCCTGCACATCCCAGGGCAACACCCCTGCCTCACAGCCCCACAATGACCCTGCTGTGTCCCCGAGGCCAGGCTGGGGCATCGCAGGTGATGCCACAGGGGCTCCATGGCACACGTGTCTGTCCTGTGTCCCTCTGTCTCCCCATGGCACCAACCAGGGCAGGCTGAGCCTGGCAAGGTAACCACGCGCGCTGCCAGCCTGAAACCCCCTGGCTGGTGAAGTGCCCTGTGATTTGGGCCAAATAAACTTAAAAAAAAGAAAAGCCCCAAATAAGCCTGTGGGGAAAATAGCAGGAACAGAGACACAGCTCAAGGAGCAGCCTACCCACCACGGCACCCCAAAGGTACAGCCCACCCCACCATGGCAGGGGGTGGCCATGCAGAGGTGTCCCCAACTGCAGCTGTGGGAACAGGAGCCAGCCCAGCCTGGGCATGAGGGGGAACAAGGATGCTGCCAGCCACAGGTGAGGGTCTCCCCAGCCCTGGAGCCACAGCCTGAATTGCTGCATCCCCCTCTCACCCAGACCCTACCATAGTAGTTTGCAGCTTTGCCCCCCCCCCCCACCATCTACACTTCCCCATTGGGGATAGAGGGGTCAGCCCGGTCAGAGCCACAGTGGGGGCACTGGGCACCCCCCACCCTGAGCATTGAGGGGACGGAGGGCAACTGGAGGGGTGGGCACAGCACCAACCCATCACCCAGGCAAACCACTCCCAAAGGATGCCACCGCTGAGGGCCATGGACTGGGAGCTGGCAGACCAGACTACACATGTCCCATAACCACGCACAACCCGGTGGACCAGGACCGGTACCAAACATGTCCCAATGGACCACTGTCATGCACATCCTCATGGACCAGGACCAGAACCATGCACATCCCGAAGGATCCATCCTGATGGACTACACATATGCAGATAGACTAGGACCAGGACTCAGGACCACACATGTCCCCAGCAACCACGGCCAGGCACATCCTGATGGATCACGCACGTCCCGCTGGACCGGGACCAGGCACATCCCAGTGGCCCAGCCAGACCACAACATGCAGGGGGGACAGGAGTGGGTGCACGTGGCCCCCGATGGAGCAGAAGCCCCCAGCCCGGCCCGGGCAGCGCGGGGCACAGCGGGCGGGCCGGGGCTAGGGGAGCAGCCGGGGGTCGCGGGGTCCCGCCCCGGCCCCGCACTTACTTTTGAGGGCGGCGACGAGCGACTTCCCGTCCTTGATGAGCTCCTTGATGAACTTGTTGGTCTTGTCCAGCTCGGCCTCGTGGGAGCGCAGCCGCTCCCGGAACTGCGGGCTGTCTAAGCAGCACTCGCTGAACTCCAGCGCCGGCAGCCCCATGCTGCCGGGCACCGCGGGGGGAAACCGGCAAGAAACCGGGAAAAAAGGAAAAAAATCAAAGGTTTGCTAAGGCGAGGCGCGCAGCCGGCCGTGCGGGGAGCCGGTGGGAGCGCGGTGCCGGGCCAGGCCGGGCCGAGCCGGGCGGAGCGGGGCCGGGCGGAGCGGCGGGAGCGGAGCCGCGGCGGGGGCGGAGCTGCCGCCGCTCTGGGGCCGCCGCCCGGGCCGGGCCCGCGCCGCCGCCGCGCCACGCCCCCCGCGCGCCGACAGCCAATGGGCGGGCCCGGCACCGCCCCTCCGCGCCCGCTCAGCCAATCGGCGGCGGGGGCGGGGAAGGGCCCGCGCGGGGCCCGGCCCCGCGGCTCCCGCACCTGGGCCGGACCCGCCCGCGGGCAGCGGCTACACCGCGGCGGCGGCCCCGGGGGCGGCCCGGCCCTGCCCCGCTCCCGTCCCGGTCCCCGCGACCCGGCCCCGCCCGCCCGTGGGGGAAGCCGCGCCCCGGCCTGCGGGAGCGCCGCTCCGGCCCGCCCCGTGCCCTCCCCGTGCCCGCCCGGGTGGCGGCTTCGCACGTTTCTCCTCCCATCGCACATCTGTGGCGGAGATTATTGCCCGGGTTTACTGTGTGAGCTGAGAGAATAAACCCTTAATCTCCTGGAAGGGCTGTTCGTGGAGGGGCGGCGGAAGCAGCCGGCACCACCGAGGGGCTGCGGGGCCCGACCCCACCGACAAGTGCCATGACGTCCCCAAAAGAGCATCGTCCCACGGACGATGGCGGTCCACTTGTCTCCATGGCTGTCATCACACACTCACCCGGCCACTTTGCCCTGCGGCCCGTTTCCTTCAGGAACACGCCAGGAATTTGGCCCGGGCGGCGCAGCAGCTGCCTCATCACCTCCTTCCCTCGGCTGGGAGCCTCCAGGAGCAAACTGCAGCCCACCAAACAACTGATCCTCCTCATCAGTCTTTCTGGCTGCCATGAGGTGGATGGTGGCAGCTACTCACCTCGAAAACAGGAGAGACTATCAGTGCCAGTCCCATGGAGCTGAGAAAATCAATTTCTAATGTAAACAATGGCACCAAGTCAAGACCCAGCCATCTCAAGCCACCCAGAGCCACCCCTCGGGCAGAGACATGCACAGTGGAGCCAGCAGTGACCTCTCACCCCAGACTGTGACAAACAGACACATTTGTGGATAATCCCCAGATGACTGGAATTCCCCCGTTCTCCACCCCAGCCATCCAGGCTCGGGAGGAGGGCGAGGGCGGCTGGCGAACACGAGCCCCAGCGTGGCGCTCGTTCCGGATCGAGCACGGCATTCCTGTCAACTCAGCCATGAAACGCAACGCGGGGCCTGTGCCAGCTTCGTGCTTCTCTGCGAACTGGGGAGAAGGGATGGTCTTGCACAAAGCTTGGGCTGACAGGATGGGCTCCAGCCCATGCCTGATGTCAAAAAGTTAATCCACCTGTGTTTTCCAGCGGGTGGATCCAGGCACAGGAACCTGACACCAGCTCAACCTTTTGTCTCTGCTTTTTTTATCCACTAAAGCACGATTCTCTCAATCTTCACACCACAGCCTAATTCAGGCTGAGTCACCGCCTTCAAATATGGTTTGCGAGCCACATTTTTTTGGATGAGGCCTCCTAATTATAAAAAAGGATGTAATACTAATTACATGCTTATCTTGTAGGCAGGATATAAAGTTTAATGAGCTGTCATTTACGCCATATGCACACAGCCCCATAAAAGCACGAGATGTTATTATTTGGATTACGTTCCTTAATTCTACACTGTACAAAGCCACAGGAGCATTATTTTGGTTTTATCCTTCTACATCACCATTGTTCTCGTTCATATTAAAAAGTGTTCCAGCACTTACTGCTAATAGAGAAGAACCTGTAACTAGATTTATAGGACACTGCCTTAGAGGATCAGAATATTTGAGGCTGGAAATTAAATTTCAGTACTTTTCCAGAACCACAGAAAGTGACAATGCTCAGACTGTCCTTTTCTGATGAACACAGAATCGAGGCTTTACAAAGCTCTGTCACACGTGAAGCACCACACACACCACAGGACTGGAACTGAGGCCTCAGGAAAGCAGTGAGGACTTTTCTCCCCTTTTTCTGGCTTCATTCACCTGGAGACACTCATTGTGTTTGAGCTCCAAGTGTGGGAGCAGAGCAGGGCAGCATGCTGCACTGGGGAAAAACAGCCATGAACATCTTCCAGCTCCATTTTCCTAGGACTGTGCTTCCAAACAGTAAAAGAATATAAAATATCCTGAGTTGGAAGGGACCAACAGGGATCATCAAGTCCAACTGGTGGCCCTGCACGGGAATCCCACTATATGCCTGAAGGGAAAAACAAGCAACCAAAACCCCCAAATTCCACATCCTCCTGCCTGTAACTAACAGCAGCTTGCAACCCTCTGCAATCCCTGCCATATTTACTTGCTTTATTTTTTTAAGCAACTGGATTGTCTCACCCCAAGCGAGCCAGGTCAGCTGGACACTGTGAAGGGATCCAGTAGCTTTGCCGTTATCCCAACAGAACCCTGCCCACGGATCCCTGGGGCACAGCACTGGGCCCACCAGCTCAGCGAGCACTCCTCTGAGCCTCTCCAAGGCTGTGCTCACACATCCTTCCTGCAGATGAAAGCTGCGGCCGCTGTAATCCCACACTCCCACCCCCGAGCCCGTCCTTGACCACACATTAGCACATTCTCCCTTGCTCAGTCACCACCCCGCATCCCACAGCTCACTCGCTCAGGGAACGACACCAGCAGAAAACTAGTCCAGCTTTAAAAACAAACAAAAAAAATTTTAAAAGAGCGGTTTCTACCTAAATGAGCTGATTCTGGGATCAAGTAACCACAGGTGCAGGAGTGGGGGCTGCCACAGCCAAGTAGGAGGAAGAGGGAGACTGACAGAGGGCAGGGTTAGAGGAGATGTTAGGAAGAAATTCTTCCCTGTGAGGGTGGTGAGGCCCTGGCACAGGTTGCCCAGAGCAGCTGCAGCTGCCCCATCCCTGGAACTGTTCAAGGCCAGGTTGGATGAGACTTGGAGCAACCTGGTGTAGTGGAAGGTGTCCCTGCCCACAGCAGGAGGTTGAAACCAGAGGATCTTTAAGGTCCCTTCCAACCCAAACCACTCTATTATTCTTTGACTGCAGTAGCATCAGATCAGTCCCAGCGTTATCTCTGGATGGGTCACACAGCTGAATTAAACAGGTTTGTTTGAAAATCAGCAACTTTTTTTAGGGTGAGTTTTCCACTGGGAACATCTTCCCCATCTGAACACAGCATCTCCCCACCTCCCCATTCCTGCCACATCCTTGTGCTGGCTGCAGTTGTTACTGGTCCCCCATAAAGCAGCAATTGCTAACACGGAATGAGGAGCCGCTTCTCCTCCAGGAAAGCTTTCTACCAGTTAAGTGGCACTAGTCAGGTAAAGCCAGAGTGACAGCAGGAGCGGGAGGTGGGGAACCAGCCCCATCCCCACACAGCAGCTCTGAGTCCCCATGTCAGTTCACAGCATCTCACATCTGTCCTGGAGCGACAGAGCCCTGCAGGGAGGCCGGTGCTGAGCACCAGCATCCACACACATGGACTGCAAGCCCTGCTGTGGGACCTTAAACCTGGTCATCCTACAACTGTCTTGTCTTGGGGATGACCCCCAGTCCCAGCAGCATTCCCACTGCTGTGAAAGTCAGAACCACTGTTACAGGGGAAAGGAGGGTGGAAAACAACCCACTAACCGGGTCTCACAACACCAGTGGCTTGGGCACTAATGCATTTCAGCAAGTCCCAGGAGACAACAACAGGCATCCTGACTGTCAGAATCCAGGAGCTAAACGAGAGGTTTCTTGGAATTGCCCTCGGGCAGCAATGTTCAAGGTCTATTTATTATGTGACTGTATATCACACATCTTCCTTGCTCCCAGGATTTTTTTATTGAGCTAGGCACAGATGAGGCATTGTATATGGCAAAAATAAAACAACCTTGTTCCAGATAACACATTAGACCACTGCAATTAATCTCTGTGAATTCCCTGTTGTAATACAAAGGGCATGTATTGACCTGTTGTACTGACAACTTTCCAAGAGATCGGATCCTTGACCATGGACCTTTTGCTGGCTGTGAATACAGGGTTGCATTCAATACAACACCAAGGGCTTCCCCTTCTCCCATGTCATCCTGGAAGTGTGCTCTGGGTGTTCTTATTTGGTACTTTTCCATGTGAATGCAGCAAACAGCCTTAGTGACACCTTCAGTGTAACAGAGTGCTCCCTCCACTGAGCATTTATGAGCTTTACATATAACTATCATGATTTTACATATATATATATATTACAGTGGAACAGTACTTTTCCTTCCCGCGTTGCACCTCTAGCAATCACACATGAATTTCCACCTACTCAGTTCTTTTTTTCCCTTCTCTAGCTCACTTTTCTCCTTACAGTCCCTCCTCCTGGCCTTCAGGCAGATTTGCAGGGGTGGGCGAAACAAGACAGAAGATGGGAACAGCAGTGACACAGCTCAGCCTCTGCAGTGGGACAGATCTCCCTGAAGTGAAAAGCAAACCAGGCTGGGGTTCCTGCTCCATCTACAAACTCTCCTCAGCTCACACTTGTTAACCTCCAATAATTTTTTGCAATACTCGTCAGTAGCCACTTGTGCTGCCAAGTCTTCCCAGACACCAGAGGTTTGGTAACTGGTTTTGGAAGCTGGTTTCCCTTTGAATGGGAATACTGATGCGATATACTATTAGTCAGCCTGTGGTGTCCTACCTGCCACAATGATCTCCACATCTATCTCCTTCCAGGTCCCTAAATCAGTGTTCATGCCTTGGGCAATGAGTTCCTCTTCCCCACAGAGAGCACGGTGCTGTAACCGTAGCTGCTATGAGCCTGTTGTCTATTTAGGCTAATTGGCTTTGCCTCCTGCTCGTGCTCTGCAGCGCTCGCACCCGTCCAGACGTGCCCAGGACATGCCAGCTCCT